AAAAAAAAAAACAATTCAACCAAAACATTATCGTTGGTTTTTACATTTAATTGTAACAATTATCACAAATCTGTACCCTAAATATCAGCCGATTTGTTTCACTCTTAAATGTATCTGAAATAGTGTATAACCTACAAAATAGCAAAAAGGAAACAATTCAACAGAAAACAGTATCGACTGATATTTCCAATTGTTGGACAACTGCTAAAAATCTGTACAATTGACAGTATCACAAATCTGTACCCTAAAAATCAGCTGATTTGTTTTTCCTTCAAAATTGTTGGACAATTGGTGCGTGAATATGTCTATTGGCGGGTAATGTAGCAAAAGTTGGCGGGAACCTAAAAAAAGTTAGTCTTTTAATATAATTATAGATTTTTCGATTTGTGAAGCAGATGGCTTAGGTTTAGCAAGAATAGAATATTAAATTGAACTCCTAACAAACTGAAATATTTCCTACACTAGAGATGGCCGGGTCGGCTAGGAAGTGGCCCATATTACAGGTTATTGAACCGGACTCGTGCTATAAACGGACCGGTTTTAGGTATTAATTTCTTTTTTAACCCGTTGTGTCCGGGTCGGTTTGCAAGCCGAAAGACAGGTCCGAGTTTTCGACTTTTTTTTTTTTTTTTTTAGGGGCCTGGCCCAGCTGGGCCGGGTCGACTGTTGAAACCTAATGACTAGATAGAATTTGGGTCGTCGAATCAATTTGAGTTTCCAATCGTCAATTTCTTTTTTTTTAAAAAAAAAAAAAAAGAAAAAAAGAAAACAAAAAAGACACCCAAATTCGGGCCAGTTCATTGAACCGGCCCTTACATATAGCCGGGCCGAATCAGGGTCTTCTACCAAACGACTTGAAATCAGCGAGTCTGATCTGAAACCGAGTTTTTACCTTATTTATCAACACATATATCATAGCGGTAACCTAGTCAAAGAATGCTTTATTAAATTTATAAAATGAAGGTGATAGAAGATTTTGTGTCACCCTATATACATCAAATCCTTCACATTCTTTCTCAAGCAAATAAAGAAAAATGCCATATTTTGATTTCTAAGATCTGGATATGAGATTGCATTGACCTTTTGAGGGACGTATTTAAGACTTCCATATTATTGTCGTTAGGGTAAGGATTTTTTTATTAAAATAAGAAGAGCGAGAGTTCTCTCTCAATTTCTCTTGTCGAGACGTTTTTGTTACGTTTGTTTGTCAGTATCAGCAGATCAGATATGATTCCCACGTCATGCCTTCCAAACGACACGACACTACAGACGACAGGCGTGACACTGCGAGCGCCGTGTTGGGCCACCAATTCAAGGCGTTAGGGGCGGCCGTGGGGGAAATTTGATTGCCGCTGGCTGCATCCAAGAACTTTGAGCGTGACAACTACGAGCCAGATGTTGTCCATTGTGTCCGCGGTAAACGTGGTCAGGGTCTCCATGGGGTGGCCCGCTCTCAATCCTCTCCATCATGTTTTTGTGATGATGACCCGACGACACCATCTCCATGGTGAACGTGTTTGTACCGTTTACAGCACGGGACAATGTACGTCTTTCTGAAGATCGGAGGTGGGAGTCAGGGTTTAAGATTGATATCCTAGAATTTTCGGCGTGAATTTTCGGATTGGATCACTGTTGACGAAAATATTCTGGATTTTAAAGAGGTACAAAATCATCATCAGGTTGCTCTTATCACGACCTGACTTCAAGATCGGGCTTCGACTTGGTGGCGCCAGTTGAAACAGACGTAGCAAAAACATGGTAAACAAAAAGATCACGACTTGGGAGAAATTTCGTACACATGTGGAACTGAGTTTTCGCCATATAATTATGTTCGTAAGTTTTACCAACGTCAGCAAAATCTCTGTCAAGGCACTGTCTATGACTACAAGGATAAATTCTACCAACTTCTCACGCGCGTGGATATTCGTGAGACAACTGACCAATTAGTTTCTCGGTATATCTGGGGTTTACGATTTCCCTTCCAAGATACATTGAATCATTTTGTGTCCGAGTCTATTTTTGATGCACACAAATGGGATTTTTTGGTGGAACAACAATTGTTGCGGAGGTCCTCTGTCTCATTGGTGTCGCGCTTTTGGCCTCGGTGACTAGTGTTTCATTGGTCGTGGTCTCTAGCGAACATAAGGAATGAAGGTCATAAATCGCTTTCGAAGTTACGTTCATTTTCGTGCGGCGAGCTAGGTCATCGTCAAGCTTCTTTCTCGAAGTCGGGACACATGCGTTCGCTGCCCGGGGATGATCAGGTGTTGACCGACTATGAGGGCCCACCAGTGTTTGATGCCAAGGACCACGTGGAAGAACATCTTACTTGGGACATCGATCCAACATTGCTATGTTTTTTTAACTTTTTAAAGGAGGATGAATAGTGTTCTCACTTCCCCTCCTCGGTGACTTGAACCCATGACTCATATGTGTGAAGCGTCTTACCACCAAGCGACACTTCGTTGTCTCCAACATTATACCTTATTAAAGGATATGGTGAAACATCATCATATTTTTTAGTCGACGTGTATGCAGGGGCGAAACCATTGTGTGGGTCGGAGAGGCGCCGGCCCCTCCAAAAAAAAAAAAAAATAAACTAGGGGTGGAGGATTTTGTTGGAACTGGAAGATTTTTCTTTGAGCGCGCATGTTGGGCCCTCCCCGGTTTCATGCGGTACATACATGGCCGGAGGGGCGCCAATGGTTTTGTCGTGAATTTTTTTTTAAAGGAAAATTGGGCCCTCTTCGAAACGGGATCCTGGTTTTGGGACAAGGAGAACTATAACAGCAACATAATTTAATAATTTTTTCATTTTTGTTATATTTTGAGTTGGTTAATTAGCCGACTTGCAGTGTACCGACGGGACTCAAAAGCCGAGTCGATCATTATCGAAAAATACTTTTATGAAAGTACGGGAAGCGGAGAGTGCGTTGGTGGCATCGATTTATGATTTTGAGGTTCCGACCATTTATTTTGGGTAGCCCGAAGTCGAGAGAAAAATGGCAGTGGCGGTGATTTTATTGTCATTTTCATGTGTAGACTTCGGGTAACCGTCGGCCCTCGTTAGGTGTGCTAAAATTTAGCGGGAGTACTTTCTTGAAAGCACGAGAACAGTAGAAGTCGTTCGTAAAATTTATTTCACGTTTCGAAGTTTTGAGCATTTATTTTGAGAAGCTCGAAGTCGAGTGCGCATAATAGAAGAATAAAAAGCCGTTTTGCGGGGTTCCGTAAGGTTGCGTGTGACCTTGGTTTAACGAGAATCGAGTTGGAGTGTGTAGACAATTCAAGCACGATTCCATACGGACAAATTTCGCATTTTTCGGAGTTCCGAGCATTTATTATGGGAGTTTGAATTTCTGCGTTAAATAGTATCAAAAGGAGCAAATTTGTCGAGGACGAGTTCGATCGTTCGAGGCTTCGTTTTCTCAATTTTTTCAGCTTTTCGTCTATTCGAAAGGAGGTATAATTCTTGATTATTATTATTATAATTGAGTCCGAGATAATTATTAGTATAAAATTCGAGTATTTTTCGAGTTAAAACAATTCAGTTTAAGTATCCCAGTTTAATTCCGGACTTAGTTTGATTTTTAGAAAAATCTCTAGAGTATTCCTTTATATCCTGCGAAAATTTTTGAGAGCGTCCACAAAAGCCCTTTGAGCACCCTTCCGATGCCGGAGTGGGGGTGGTGCGCCGCGGGATGGCCAGAGTGGGGGTGGTTCGCCGCGGCAAATTGGGCCCTCCCCGGGATGACCGGCTGGTTTCGCCACTGACCGTGTATGGTTAGTGGTAAAGTATATCGATTTAACATCGGCTCGAGCTCTTGTGAAAATGTTACGGCTTGGGAAGTTGTGGAGAAGCTCAATCTCCCTAGTGGGCCACATCCTCATCCGTATACATTGGCGTGGATCCAACGTGGCAATTCTACTACGGTAGATTGCCGTGTGATGTCTCTTATTCAATTGGCACTAATTACAAGGATTCGACATGGTGCGATGTGGTTTCTATGGATGCGTGTCATCTACTGCTTGATCGTCCTTGACGATACGATCATTTCGTTGTTCATGATGGTTGCCTCAATACCTATGGCTTTCTCTTTCAGGGTGGCAAGATTATCCTTCATCCGATGCCCTCTCGACCTCTTTCATTGCCAGTCACCTCGCCTGTGTTGTTTCTCTTGCATGATACCTTTGTCAAAGAGATGCGTTTTGCCTTTGTCAAAGAGTTTCATCATTACTTTGACATTTATGGTCTTTTGGTCTAGCAAGAATTTTGGATTACTAGAGAATGTGATGGTTGTCGAGGTGATCCCTTGTCAAATCCCAATGGTTCCTTAGACCATAAAACTTTTTCTGTTGTGTGCTAGAGACACTGTGAAGTTGCTAAGGAATCATCCGAGTCTTGTACTGTGGGAGGTAAAGAACAAACTCCTACACGAGATGGGACTACCATAAGTACGTCTATTATTCAAAGCCTGGATTGGTTTGTGATCATATTTTATTATATGGTGAACCAAAGGATCTCGATGACTTATGTCTTAAGGCATAATTGGCTAATTATATACAACACAAAGATCTGTTGGAGGGTCGAACCTTAGGTATGGGGAGCAAATACACGGGTGTTGTTAGTTGGAGAACTCAAAACCCTTGGACAAGTTTAAGGGGTCAGATTTATGATCATCCCCTTGAGCAAACATCAAAATCTTATGGGTGGCGTGCTGCAGAACCAATTAATGTCCAGTGAACTCTCATATTATTATGCAGGTTGATCGACATCTCTCTCTCCTCACAGCTTTGGGCAGATTCATGCCTAGAGACTGGACATGCTGCAAGCCGCCTTGACATAGGTACTGCCTGTCTAGCACCTTCACCCTAGAACTGTTGTTTGGCTGAGACCCGACTCTCCTTGGGTTAAGCTGAACATCGACGGATCTTTCGACCAACTCACCGGATCCGCCGGAGGCATGGGCCTGGTTATGGATCACAACGGAGCTCTCATTGCCGCCTTCCACGCCCCTCTTCAGGCCTCCTCGGACTACAATGCGGAGGTTCAGACTCTCGAAATCGGTCTTCTGATTGCAACCTCTATCTCTATTCACATTTAGATTGAGCTGAATGCTACCGCTGCCGCTATCACCACCCTCTTGACTTTGGGCCACCTGGGCTCGTGGTAGATCTAACACTTGCCCATGTGCATCAGATACACACTTCAGTCGGTTCACTACCAGATCTCGCACATCTTCCGTGAGGAGAACTGACCGGCTGACTTCGTGGCCAACCTTAGTGCCACACTTGCCCAGAGACGCACTTTCCACCCCTACGATGCCACTCTCCGCCTACGTATTTTGGTGCGGATGGACCAGCTTGGCTACCCTTTGTTAAAATTTTATTAGGCGTTTTGTACTTTGGCCCATTTTATGGTGTAAACTGTTCGTCTGGGCACCTGTCAGCTCTGATTTAGACGTTTCTTTTTGTCTTTTTTTTTTAATTTCTTTTTCTTTTTTTTTTTTTTT